TTTACCACTGATTACTACAGACATATATGGATGTTTAACCCTTAACTATGGATGTTTAACTTTGGAATAAAAGGGAATCATGACATGTCGCACATCTCATGTGTCTTTAAGGGGTTAAACACTGCCTGTCAGTTTTACATTAAAGCAACAGTACCATGCCGGATGCGATTTGATGGCAGGATCACTAAGAAAATTGAGTGTATTGCGGTGTAACCTTCACAGGGATACATATATGTATATTTTCTGTGCCTAGTGTACATATGGAACGTGGGTGTCCTCTGGGTAATTTTTCATGACACACCACCTGGGATGACTCCCAGATATGCATGCAATGCTTGTAAGGTGCCAATAAGTATAATATGGGTGTCCTCTGGGTTACCATGGCACACCACCTGGGATGAACCCAGCCTAATAGACATGGGTCCTGCGGCTGCAGACCTTATGGAGACAGGCCCCATGCCCCTATATAGTAAGCCTGTGTAGTTAAAACCCTGCATACAGCTCTGGCGTACATTTGTGGTGAACCCGGCTAGCCAGACCGGCACCACTACCAGGCAGTCGCGCCTGCACCACGGCTCTCAGTAGCCAGATTAAACTAATAGAGGTGACCCCTCTTTTTACCTGGGTGATCCCCAGTTCTACCAGGAGTCTAACACCCCTACGTGCTGACCCCCACACTATCTCCCAACAGGACGGGAACGAGTCATGGTGGACACTCTCAACGTTCCCAAGATTTCTAGACAATGATAAACGCCACAGTAACGGCCTCAGTGGAGAAGGTTCTGTTATGAACTCTACCCCACACCGCTTGATGGAGACCTCAGGCCCACAAGCCTTCAAGTCAAAACGGCAAGGGAAGGGCTCCAGCCCCCCTGCCACTAAGGTCAAGGGCAAGATGCCCATCGAACAGACCAAATAGGCGGAACACCGGGAATCCAAACCCCGTCCGCCACAATCTTCCGACAAAAAAGACTATTACCCACCACGTACTTTGGACATGGTAGATGAGCGACACGAAGACAGCTCACCGTCTGAGGAAATGGAACGGCAAGACCTTCCCCACACTTCCTCGAAGTAAGTTAGGGAAACCTTACTCCGTGACGGCGGCTGAGGCAGAGATAACTGTAGCGGCACTAAACCAGAGTAGCCGAAGACGGAACGTTCCTGGACGAACACTATTGGCTGCACAACCCTCGGGGGATGGAAGGATGCGCACGCCTCAAGACCGAGTTGCCCCAGGGTACACAACTCAACCCTACCACCTCCAAAGAATGGTCTCAATGCTCGATATGCCTCCTGGGCAACGTAAATGACGCACTATGCGCCGACAGACGCAAATCTGTACTGGGCCGCATCGACAACACACTATTGGACCTAGGAACGACAAGTATTCGGCCCAAAAGCACAAGGCCTACTATTCGACGTAGTGTTCATTGCAGTACTCAAAAAACACGTGAATTTATTCACCACACTAAACCCAGACCTCGCTAAAACAAGTCTGAACCCATCCGCTTCATCTACTAGTGTGTCAACCTACATAACTAACTGTTTCCAATATTATGACCGGCAACCTGTCTCTGTTTTACAGAATTGGGAGACGACTACCAAAGTCACCTGGGTTCTCCAGACAGTACAAGGTTATGTCATAGAGTTTTATCACAGCTGTACAGGTCGCCCCTTCACCTCCATTACGCACGCTGGCGGAACAGGAACGCCTCGTGGACAAGAAAATCTGCACCCTCTTCAGGAGGTGCGCAATTCAACACGCAACGGAGGGGAAGGCTTCCCCAACAAATTTTTCCTGGTCAAGAAGAAGCCAGGAGACTACATCAATGGAACTCCTACATGGTATAAAAATGCTGCAAGATGGAGGAAATTCGTCTTCTACAAGACCTCCTAGGCGATAACGACTGGTTTACACATCTAGACCTCAAGGACGCACGCTTGTCGGTACCCGTTGCCCTGGACTGCCGAAGTTTTCCTCCGATCCCGATGGTGAGGACAAACACGGCAGTTTACGACTCCGTGGTGCTCGCGAACCTACTGTAACCAGTGAGGGCACACATCCGCAAATTTGGGCGTGCGATGCCTCGTATACCTGGAAGACTTGCTGATTCTTTACGAATCCAGACTACATTTGCAGACAGATTTGTCGTTCACTTTCGGGACTCCAGGGATTTTTTGTTGTACACAGACAAAGATCGCTTCTCCATCTGAATCGGGCCAGTTCCTCAGTTTCGACATCGGCTTGGAGAACTATGTTCCGCGTCAGTCTACGGCAAAGAGCGCCTCTATAAGGATAACTGTCGGATTGTGGGATTCCTCTCCTCCTCTCCTCCTCCATACAAGCGTTATTCCCTGGCCCACTACGACTGATGGTGAGATACGTACGCACCGCTCACTCATATGACCACTGGATCCCACTGTCGGCGGAAGTGAGGATGGAATTTCGATGGTGATTACTTCACATACAAACTTGGATTGGCAAAACGATCTTTGACTCTTCCTTCGGATACGGGGCGATGGATGAACCCCTGCAAACGCGACCCAGCCGTTTCTCCACAATAGCAAAGGTGCTTCAATACACACACACACTCACAAGATATCGCTCCTGCTCATGACACCCCTCGGGCAGGGCCAACCGTGATTTCCCGGATCGCCTGGAGATGTCTCGCGAAGACCCTCTACTACTCCCTACCTTCCCTCTACTTCTGACGGGACCTCGAGGGGGAGCCCACTCCCTTGTCATGGAAGGACAACTGACACTAGTTGCCTGGACGGCTTCAGGGGCTCCTGGTCAGATCACGACCTATTGCATCAACTAAGACCTCCTATGGGACTCATAGGCTCCCGGCACCAGGAAAGGCTATATTTCTGCCTGGTCGGCCTGGAGTGATTGGTGTGTGGAAAGGGATTCCGATCCCTTTACCGCACCTGTCCCACTGATCCCCAACTATCTGTCACACCTGGTCTCGTTGGGTCGGTCATATCGATCCCTCAACATGATCAGATCCGCCATGTGGGCGGCGCACGTTCCGGTACAGGGCAGACCAGTAGGTCAAGATACACTGGTTTGTCGACTACTGCGGGGTGCCGAATTGTCGAGATCCCGGCACCCAAATATTCACGCCTTTTGCAGGTGGATGTGGTGCCGAGATTCCTTAGGGAATGGCCGGACAATCCTTGTTGGTCACTGAAGCAACTTTCAGCCAAACTAGCCTTCTTATTATGCCTCGTCTCATTTAGACGGTGGCGGACGTTAGGGCTTGCGATATGGATGGTTTCTCTCTCACACCAGACGGGGTTACCTTTACCATGTCGAGACAAACTAAGTCTGATTCGTCTTCAGTGTCATACCCATGCTTTGTGTCAGACGCCACACTATGCGTGGTCAGAACGCTAATGGGGTACACCAATATCTCTACCCCCTTCGAACTCACTCGACGGATCACCTTCTGACTTCTTACGTAAACCCTCATGGACCGCTGTCTACCGCAACACTGGCCAGATGGGTCCGCTGGGGTTTTGTCTTTAGCGTCGAACCTTGTTTCGGAGCCCACTCGGTCAGGGGAGCAGCGGCCTCACAAACCTTTTCGGCCGACGCTTCCCTAGCCGACATTATACGCTGCGCGGACTGAGCGCGAGAGAGTACGTTTAGAACGTTCTATTTTCGGCAAACATCTCATGCTTCCTTCACATTGGTCAATTCAAAGCTTTAAAAATGCAAATATGAAGCCTCCTGTCATGTGGTAAAATTGAAGATTATACTAGCTTTAGTGTACTAATAATCTTAATTTTAGTAATGACAGGAGGCGAATATTTCCCACCCTGTAGAATCCCTCCCATGTTCCTCGTATTGAACAGAATATGTCCTTTATGTTCAGGAAGGTAAGTACGTATGGTTTGTATGTTTGCTACTTAGACCTGTATCTTGTGGGTCTTGTATTGGCTGAATATTAGACGTGAACCTTGCATTATGTTGTGTTTATAGATTCTTAAATATCATTGCGTTAGAATAAATATATATTGATATGTTTCACACTCTAATGTTCGCTGGTATGTCAGATGCTTAATGCTTATTGTATGCGGACAAGTTATCACGCCAGATACCTTTCACCTTTTTCTTTTTCTTGCAGCGTGAACGTCTTCTCATCGTGACAAAGATTCACCTTCTATACCTCTGCATCGCGGAACTAGTGGAGTTGGATATTCTAATATGTTGTTGAACTGTTGACGTAATATGATTATGTCTCCTATTGCTATTTATTGTTTCGCTTCAAAGAAAGAGGAAGTGATGTCATAGACAGGGCCTTTTATGGGCATTATATCTTTTTTCTGATTGGTTGTTTATGTTACTATGCTGCTGGAGTTTTGAGTAAAGAAAGATATGCAAATATTCGCCTCCTGTCATTACTAAAATTAAGATTATTAGTACACTAAAGCTAGTATAATCTTCAATTGTATGGGGGTGTTTACTCCAAGATGGGGGTATTTATTCCAAGATGGGACTCTCTGGACCAAACCACAGGGAGCAGTATTTTTATTTTTTAGAGAAACAAAGGGTGTTATTTATTAAAGTGTTTATGTATAGTTCTGTCAAATTTGTGGAGCAATTTATTAAATCTGCTAGATTTTTTTAAAAGTGTTTTTGTTCTCTTTTTCTTCTGTAATACACAATAATGAACACTGTGACCGTTTTAGCTCGCGTTTGGAACACTTTGATTCATACCATCTGAATAATGATACAATGTAACCGTCACGTTCCAGGTCCCCAGATAATCCATTTCTCAGTAATTCCCTGTATTTGTAACTGATGGTTTATATTCTGCTAATAGCACTGCTAATGCTGACAGCGGGTCTGTGTAATCCGCACCCAGCCCTGCCTTGCAGCAGCCACCAGCACCACGGACAGGACTCAGGGCAGGCCCCGCCCCCTGCGCTGACTGACAGCACTGGTACCCTGGAAGGAGGGGGTGATGGTTAGAATGCGGGTGTATCCACGGCAACCGCGTCACGTGTGAAGTGTGTCGGACTGTCACCGGGCAGAGAGGTGGCGCAGTGTCTCCTCCGCCATCATCCTGATCCCCAGTATCTGCAGCCCGCACACGCCATGCTCGCCGCCCGCTGACCCCCGGCTCCTCCCCGGAATTGCAGCACGGTGAGCTGTGTGTGACCGCGGCCGAGCCGAGCTCCCCGGGCACCGAGCACCATGGACGCCGTGTCAGAGCTCATTAACGACACGCTGCGCCTGTACAGCTGGAGCCTGAGCATCGCAGGTAACCGTGTCCGCCTCCATCATACCCTACAACTCCTATCATCCGCAGACAATCCCACCATACCCTGCTCTGTGCCCACCCCCAGGCTGACTACAACTCCTATCATCCTCAGACCATCCTACCATACCCTGCTCTGTGCCCACCCAGAGGCTGACTACAACGCCTAGCATCCTCAGACAATCCTACCATACCCTGCTCTGTTCCCACCCCCAGGCTGACTACAACGCCTAGCATCCTCAGACAATCCTACCATACCCTGCTCTGTTCCCACCCCCAGGCTGACTACAACGCCTAGCATCCTCAGACAATCCTACCATACCCTGCTCTGTTCCCACCCCCAGGCTGACTACAACTCCTATCATCCTCAGACAATCCTACCATACCCTGCTCTGTGCCCACCCCCAGGCTGACTACAACGCTTAGCATCCTCAAACATAACCACAATACACACACACACACACACCATATACTGCTCTGTACCAACCCCCAGACTGACTACAACTCATATCATCCTCAGACATCACCACCATACACACCATACCCTGCTCGGTACCAACCCCCAGGCTGACTACAACTCCTATCATCCTCAGATACACCCCCTCTGGACAAGGATTATGGGAGTTACAGTTTTAAAATGCTGGGGTTCCTGAATGTATGTGATTGGGTAACCACAGTGCCTATGGTAGCTCAATAGCATGTTCTTGGCACAGTGTTCATTACTTCTGTTGGTGGAAGGTTAATACTATAATATACTTTTTTTTTTTTTTGTAGGGATGAAAGATATTGTTCCTGTATAATAATAGCTTCCAGATACATTATGCTTCCATGTTACATTATTTCTAAATCTTCTGTAATATGTATTAATGTGCTTCTCAGCACAGGGCCTCCATATGTATGCTAGTATGTCCTCCATATACATACAATCCATTAAATTATTTTTAACACACTTCCTTAATGCTCATCTGGCTAAATTGTGCAGAAGGCTTCCAGATAGCTGTAATATAGCTCATAATACAATGAATTACCTAATGGTGGGTCACTAGTGGTATGAAATATGCATCCATTCTTTTCTTTGTAATACACACTGCTCCAAAATGTTAAGACTGCCTTTTTTTCAGGAAATGCAAGATCAGCAGGCAATTTATATTTCCCTATGGATTGGACCTATTATGACATGGCATGAAATATATTACTCCTCACACCTGTCAAGGGTCATGGCAGATTCTTATTGATCCATTTGTGGCTTGTTTATTTGATTAAAAGTGATGGTAATTTGTAGCAAATCTTATTGCAAATCCTGCAAATAAATACCATGCCTTCAAGGTACAATTACAAATGTACACCATTTTGGAATATGGAATTTACTTATAGGTGAATCCTGCTTGACAGTGGCTAAACAAATTAATAATTAAGGTTCACTAAGTAATTGGAGAGACTAGAGGAAAATAATACATGTGTTCTGTATGCAGCTAAACATGATAACTGACAAATTATATTATAATTCTATGGTTTGATTGTTCTGTAATAGAGATTGTTGCTTATTTTACCTATCAAAAGTACAACATTGACCATGCACCAAATTCATTAAATAATATGGCATGAGTTTTGGAAAATGATTCTTGTTAATTATATAACCCAGGGCTTGACAAATTTGGTTGGAATCTAGGAGCCAGCTAAAACAGTTAGGAGCCAGTTTTTTTTTTTTTTTTTAAACAAAGCTTAATTTTCAATGGCAAAAATAAAATTCTTAAAGTGATACTATAGTCACTACAGCTTAATGTGGAGGTTATAGTGTCTGCAGCCTGCCCCTGCAGGCTTTTCAATGTAAGCACTGCCTTTTCATAGAAAATGCAGTGTTTACATTGCTGCCTAGTTACACCTCTAGTAGCAGTCACTCAGACACCACTAAAGTGCTTCCTATCTCAGTGCTGCACAGTGTGCAGCGCCTACATTTAGCGTCTCCACGCACTGTATGGAGGCGTGGCACGTTCCACATAGAGATGCACTGATTTAATGCAGGTCTGAGTAGACGCTGTTTGGTGCAGTATTTTGCCACGCGTGCATACTAGCCTCCTAGTGAAGGCCAGCTGCGTCAAGTCCGGCACGGAGTGGGAAAAAAGTGAGTAAAAACACAATTCCCATGAGATTGGAGGGGGGACGGTCACCTAAACACACACTCCCTGACAGACAGACACACATTCTCTAGCAAGTTATTTTTTGTTTTATTTGTTTATTTCCACACAGCCTCCCACATTATATGTAGCTAGATATTGTGCTTTTTTTTTTTTTTAATATATGCAGATTTACATGCATACGAATATACCCCCTAATTTCCTAGTGCCTAACTTTTTACCTGTGCACTAGTACATAGTGTGTGGGGGTCGCATATCCACTAGTTAATGCCTGCATCTATTTATTGAATAGGGAGTTGTGGGGAACTGAAAGTGAAATTTGAAAATATAAATACAAAATAAACAGGCTAAGAATATCTTGCTGATGAATGTTTATTAAACTTTGTGACTTACTTACTAAGCAAAACCTACCTCAGCTATGGTCATAGTTTGTCCCCTGGGGCTGTGATCTCCCTTCTTTGCTCCCTTGCACAGTTTAATGATGCCCTAAAGTTACTAAACTACGTGAAGGAGCAGAGCAGGGCAACCCAGGAATAAGCTCCCTCTCAGCCATGCTCCATTCTACACAGCTGGCCGCCGGTCCGCCTCCACTCTCTCCATGCCGTCCGCCTCCACTCTCTCCATGCTGGCCGCCGGGCCGCTTCCACACTCTCCATGCTGGCCGCCGGGCCGCCTCCACACTCTCCATGCTGGCCGCCGGGCCGCCTCCACACTCTCCATGCTGGCCGCCGGGCCGCCTCCACACTCTCCCTGCTGGCCGCCGGGCTGCTACCACACTCTCCCTGCTGGCCGCCGGGCTGCCTCCACTCTCCCCCTTCTGGCAGCCGGCCCGCCTCCGCTCTCCCCATGCCGACCGTCTGCCTCCGAGGCGCCCAGGACACAATTCTTAGTTGCCATGGGGACCTGGTGCCTGGGATTTGTTGAGCCCTGATATAACCAGTTTTTATTAAATAATGTAACTGTGATAATTTCATAGCAATCTGTGTAATATTCTACTAGTATTAATGGCAATTGCTGCACACTTTGCACTTTCCCCTCACAATTATTCAGTTTTTCATGGATTACTAAATAATCAATTTTAATAATTGTATACACAACATCTTTTTGATTGTAGTGATGTTTCTAAAGATGCTTTAAGCTAAGGTTGCCTTTATTATTCTTTGAGTATTTCCCTGCTGTGTTTATAAATAAAGTTAGGACTAGTATTATGTTGCATGTTTAGCTATTGATCTAACATTTACTATAACATTTCATTTTTTACTATGTCACTTATTAATGATCCTGATGCATATAAAATCATATT